ACGAGCCGTGCTACCTCACGTTAGTCTCATAGCATAGGTCTCAAACCATACGGATATCCCCGTAATGAAAGCTATTTCTCTGTCTGTATGGATTGCTCTGTATTTGTGAGTGTAAAAAAGAAAAAGAAAGAAAAAGAAAAGAACTACTACAACTACTACTACTACAACTATTACTACTACTACTACTACCAATAATAATAATAATAATAATAATAATAATAATAATAATAATAATAATAATAATAATAATAATAATAATAATAATTAAAATCCTCACATGTATATTTGTTTCCAGTAATGTTTTTTTTTACTAGAGTCCTATTGATTAACTATTAAGATTCAATTTACTCTTCATAACCGTGTTGATATACTCGGCTTCGTCATTGTAAATTTCTTGATCGTTAATATTATTTGTATATAATAACTGATTAATATGAATTTGCCATATTTGTTTCTAAGTTTATTTTTCTATTAAATGTCTCTCTTTTTCATTTTGTTAAAGAATATCACTAAATGTTTTTTTTTTTTTTGGAGTCTATTGATTTATCGCATGATGTGCATTTTGGTAAATAGGATGTCAAATGTCTGTGAAATGCTTTTTCCCCAGTCAGCCATTGATCATGCAAGTACAGGAAGAGCTTTGAACAGAGGCCGATTCTATACCTGCCCAGATCTTCCAAACGATCGACCGCTCAGATTGAGGATGGCGATATTCAATTTCATGTTAACTTGATGTTTTAAGTTCATTTAAAATTGAATAAGTATCGTTTCCTTTAGTCCATAATCTATGAATATTTCGGTATGTATACAATAGTTCTCTAATTCTCCTTTAAGATCCAAGAGGCTTTAGTAATTTGGTTAGTTTATTTTTTTTATAAAGATTTCATTATTAAATTTACAAATATAGCCAAATAGGCAAATGTATATTGCTTCCAATGGATATTTGGGTGAGTTATTTAAAATTTGAAATCTATCCAGTATAAATGTTTGTTTTGTTTGTTTTTTTTTTGTTTTAAACTCATGTTTGGCAGAGCCAGTCCCCCTTTATCTTTCGGTCTACAGATGTAATTTTTCTTTAAATAGTGAATTTTATTATTCCAATTGAAGCTTAATATTCTTCTTTCAATATTTCCAGTCACTGATACGTCCGTCACGTTTCACAAAACAATGTCACATCAATTCACTTCGCATAGACGATAGCGCACCTATATATGAAATGTGACGTCACATGTAGCTCTCTTCGGATTGGAAGAGTGAATCTGCAAAGTGACTAAACTTTGTAACGTTTGTTGAGATTGGTGAACAATTTCAATCCGTTTCGACTATAAATAAACGCGGTTCACTTCATTTCCATTACCTGGTCTAGTCACAAAGATGTGGATAGACGTTGAACACTCTACTCTCATATCGTCGATGCTGTTCCGTAGGGACTTACCCATGTATGTGAAAACAACATGGACCACCGGTGCAACTGTTTGGAAAAGAAGATGCTATGTGGAAAGACAAGGGTGTATGAAGAGAGTCCTCATCTACGGACCAGAAGTGAGACACAGTTTGAGACAAGGTTTGAGCAATTTGAGGAAGATAAGAAGACATATGCTATGTCCTGTATGTTAGCGGAATAGTGTTAACATAACAAACAAAGGTCCTTTTCAGGGCCATTTCCTATGTCTCGAAAAGATCAAGTCTCATTTAGCCAATATCAGAGGCGTAGCTATGATATTTTGCTTCGTGAGACGAACTATAAAATTGGCGTCCCAGCCACCTCCCCGTGTAATCACATTTTTCTATTTTACTTATTATAATGTAACGTTGTAAGCCTCATTTTGGCGCCCTGTACCTTGGCGCCCGGGGACATATGTACTCCCCTGCCCCACCCTAGCTACGCCTCTGGCCAATATGTGTTATCTGTATTTATCTGTCTCTGTGGCTCTATTGTATTTGTCCCTACCTAGAGTGGTAGCTGTGCCTATTTAGGTGAGCCCCTTGCTACATTGTTGCAAATGTCCAGTACCGTGACGTCATGTCATCTGTTAAATTCCTCTTTCTCCTTTGCAGAATTCCCATTGTCCCTATACAGTCCCAGTGTAATTTTCTGTCCCTAAAACTCGTGTCAGGGTGGTCCGTAATGTATTTTCCCATAGTCCCTATAGGATCCCACTATACTACTTTCATTGTATCGACTCCCTGATTTCCTTAGCATGCATTGCCTTAGTTCCCTAATTTCCTTTTTAGAACACATCACCTACAAACTGTGTAGACCCAGATGTGTCTTGGTATAAAGAGTCGACAGCAGATTGGTGTTTGTGTTACTTGCTTGAACCCATAAACAGAACCAAACGTCAAGATACAAAATGTCAGATCTAGGTTTACACTAGTTGCAGTTGCGTGTGTCCTATTCGGTGCAAACTTCACAGATTTCAATCTCATCCAAGTTAATTGTAGCGTGTCATGCTTACAGGAAGATTTATCTAACATCTGCTTTCAACTAAACCTGGGGTTGAAAGAAAATATACGAAATGAGTTTTATCTTCCCATCGGCAAGTTTGCTTTTTTCTACTTATGCCGCAGGAAGCAAGAACGTGCACCTTGCACGTATATCGTACGCATTGGATTATAACATATTACCACCGTCTCTCTCTTTTGGCAAGCCCAAGGGTTCAGCCATGTAACTCAGATAACGAAGAAAGGACGGAGGTTGGGGTGGGATACTTATAAACAAAAAAGGCTTTCTTAGATGCTTATTTAATATATAAAGTCAAACTGCTGATATTATCTAAGACTAAAACGTTAAGAATTACATCTGGTTCATTATTGTGACTGTTAATATTAGTATATATGGCTAAAGAGTTTCAACAGAAAAGGAAGTGGAAGGAAACAACAGCAACAGTTATCAACAATATGTATAGCCTAAGAATAATTCTTCGCAGAATTTTTCATAACAAATCCGTGCAGTTACAATTATAATGCTGTACATACAGTAAAAACAAGAAAAGCAAAGAAAAAGAGACAACAAAAATCAAACTAGATATGTGTTTATAAAAGTAAACACTACAACACAATACACCAAACAGCTATGGCCCGAAAGGTTCTCAAATGTGTCCAAAAAAAACAAACAAATTCGTGTAAAGGTTTCAAAATCTAATCATGGTATCTGCATATAAATACAAATAAGCTTGCCAAATGTAATGTCTTTCCAAAGTGTTTTATTTCTTAATCGTGCCATCAAGCTGTCAAAAAGATTAAGGTAGAAGAAGTTCCAGAAAATGCGTGAACAATTAAAATGACCATATGTTCTGAAATAATAATGACACCATTTACATATGAACACAACAGTTCCAGCAAAATTTCATTCGCCCCCCGCCCCCCTTCTCGCTAACAAGTTTCTTAGAAGGACGAACGATTTAAAAAAATTCGATACATCCCTTCCCGTTGCAAGGTGCTCGCACACGGAAAAATAGATCATGAAGCAGCAATGAAAAAAAAAAATGGAAACAATTGTAACAATCTGATTAATGCGGGACTTTAAAATTATAATGAATTGACCCCCATTTAAGGCTAGAATAATCTGTAACAGCCAAGGCATTTTAGTTGAAAACAAAGTATTGGTTTAGTCGTCATCTTAAGGTGCAACCCGAAATAATTACGAAATAATTAGCTAGTGTAAATCAGTAGCTGGCCATGACCTGCAACTCGAGCCCGTCCCCGAACCATTATTAGGAATATAAAGAATGTCTGAAATAGGGAGAACAGCTGGAGAAAAAAAAATTGTTCGCAAGAGATGATGGTGGCGGTGCTAAGAGCAAAACAAACAAAATCAATCCTGCATTTATTTATAGAGACAGTAAATTTATTTTTGCTATAACAGCAGGTAAATATATAGATGAAGCAAACGTACATTACTGCGTACGTTTGTGTGTGTAAGTGCGCGCGCGAGTGTGTGTGACTTTTAATATCAGAATAAGTCGTCCAGTTTTCTTTATTTGACATTATTAGTGTAGTCCTTGATTGGGTTATTTTCAGGTCCGGATTGAAGTTATGACGTGTTTAAAGGCTAGTAGAAGGAAATGACGCTCAGTTCTTACTTCGATCACAAGATGTCTGCAGTTTTATCAATAAAGCACGACCAAATTTTTGACAACATGAAATTATCTTAACGGTATTATAAGGTTATTTTTATGTCAGAAATTTCGTAGTGCTTTATTGATAAAACTGCAGTCTGATGTGCTTCGATACGGAATGGTAAGCCTAGAAGATATGTTATGGAGAAAGAACTTTATCTGCAGTTATCCTACTGGCTGTCAGCAAATATAATCATTAATTTGTGGCAAACATTGATGGTGACAAGTTTAATCCATGATGAAAAACAACTCTATCGAAATTACAAACATTCAATAAATACTAAAGTTATATATTCACATTCCCAAGCACACGAATAAATGCATGCATATATACACGTGTCCATTATATATATATATATATATATATATATATATATATATATATATATATATATATATATATATATATATATATATATATATATATATATATGCATATACCCATACACGTGCTTGCATAGGTGTCCACGTACGTATATGTTGTGTGATTTATTTCTGAATACAACCTTCCTACACCTTAAGCTCCGCCTATCTTGGGTTGTACAATTGGTACCGTTATACAACCATAACCAATCTATGCAAAATATTCTGAACGAAATGTGAATCCAACTCTATTATTGGAATAGTTTCCTCTTCTGAAAGTCTCCCTGTGATTCTTCTTTCTCTCATTCGCATAATATACCGTAGCTTGGAATAGAGTTTGAAGTTTTCCTTCCAATTATACAAGAGTCAGATATGGGGATGGCGTTCTTGGCAGTGTCCAACAGAATCATAAAACCATTGGCAAGATAAGTTGATCCAGTATAATATATGTAATTTTCTATAATATGTAGAGTGTTCTCTGCCTTACATAATGTTTCTCTCATCACAATGTGGACCGCTCCTGTGGCCTAGTGGTTAGAGCGTCTGTCTAGAATGCGGGAGGTCGTGGGTTCAATCCCGGTCGAGTCATAGCAAAGACTTACAAAAATGGTACTAATAGCTGCCTCGCTTGGCGCTCAGCATTAAGAGGTTAGTGTTAGGACTGGTCGGCTTGGTGTCAGGATAATGTGACTGGCTGAGATATCATGCTACATGTCTGCGGCATGATGCCCCATTGTTAGACATCACTATAAACTGCCACGCTGCAGAAATCATAGCGATATGACTGAAAAATTTTAAAACTACGTTAAAAATCATAATCACATTATATCACATATCACAATTTCTCAAAGGATCTTCAGTTAGTCTCTATGGCATGGATCCGTTTTTAGGTTGTGCTTTTTGGGGGTTTTATGTAATCATTTATTTTGCGGACAGTTTAATTTCCGCGCTCTATAGTATAACCATGTCTACTTTCTTCTCTCTTTGGAACTGCTTTATCGATTTTCGTTTTCTAGTATCGATGACGTGTTCTCTGCATTAAGGTGGAAATTTGATTTTCACTTCAAAGTTTGAAGAAAATGTATTTAAAAGCGATGGGACTGTGCATCTCTGTCCAAAAACACACACAATTTTTGGCTTTGGCGAAAAATAATAGCTGTGTTGTGTTGTGGTCTTATGGACGATTTTTACGGAAAATTCCGCTTCGTTTTATCTAAATTACTCTAGTAACGACTTCTTTGATGATCGGCGTCTTGCCTTTCAATTATTTCGTTTTCAATCTTGCTACTATTCACATTATTCTCTGCAGACCCCATCACCGTATCTCTTAATTTCAGAATCTCTTGAGCACTGTTCTCACGTTGCTTGCATAGTCATCGTTCTTTGCACCGACAGTTACGCCATCTAAAATCACAATACTGTCGCATCATTTCTGATCCAGTATAGAACGCTGTCATATACAAATCGCCTCGTGTCCTTAACATATAATTTCAGTCTCTGCATTGCTATCAGCACAGACTTCGTTGTCAAATTGTTCTAATGATAAAGATGTGTTTTTTCTTAAAATCCTATCCCGAGGAGTGTGATCTGAATATTTTAAAGTCGATACGGGGAAAAAACCTCAACTAATTTTCTTTTTTTGGCTCAATCATGGCCGCGGACAGGGTATGATATCTAGGACAAAATTCCGGGACCCACCGCCGAAGAGAAGAAATGTTTTTGGGTGTCGGGTGAGTTAATAATTCATAGGGGCCTACTGGAGAATTTTTCCTAGGATCCACAAATCCTGTTCGCGGTCCTTGTTATAAAAGCAAAGTCACTATAGTGAAAAGTTGTACCCCAATAAGATTAAGAGTTGATGCAAGTATGTAAAGAAGTGGGTCTGTGTCGTCTAAATCTTCAAACTTCTCAATCTTTATCCGGCATGGAAAAATCATTCCAACTTAATTTTACAAAAGCGAGCATGTAGTCTTTCATCAACGGGCCGGCCCTACGACAAGGTGAACGAGGCAACCGCCTTAATTGGACCTCGTGCTTTCAGGAGCCAAGCGCTGCTGATGAAATTTGTTTGCTTGGGGCCCCGTTCATCGCTTCAGCCTTGGGACCCGCAGATCCTAGGGCCGTTTCTGCTCAACAGACATGTAAATATGGCAGCGGTCTTGAGTATTTGAATCTCTACAACAGTGGTTCTTAACCTGGGTTCGATCGAACCCCAGTGGTTCGGTGAGTCAGTCTTAGGGGTTCGGCGGAGGATAAGATACACCCGACTCATATGATTTGTGATGACACGCCCCCTACCCCCCGGCCATCATTGGCTGCAGGTGATCACGTAACATCGCTTGGCCTGTCTGTGCTGCAGGAAATTTGGTGCGCCCAGGAGTCGATTTGTGACTGTCGTGATGGTACGTCGTGTGATTTCTTTCTTAATAATTTAATGATTAAAATTAATCCCTTCATACTAACTATGTCGAGCTATAAAAAAAAGTGGTCGGACGAATATGTACAATATGGATTCACATGTATAACGGAACATGATGGAAGTCAGCGTCCTAACTGCATTATTTGCAATGCAAAGTTGAGTAATTCTAGTCTAGCACCGGCAAAACTAAGAGAACACTTCTATAAGCTGCATGGAGATGGAAAATACAAGAACACATCGCTCGCTGAATTCAAGATTCGATAAAAAGGCTACTTTGCCTGTTCTCGGCTTTGTACCCATCAACAAACCGATCCTCACAGCATCGTACGACGCTGCCTACCTAATCTCAAAGCATGGCAAACCACACACCATTGGTGAAACACTCATAAAACCAGCTGTGTTGAAGATGGCGAATATCATGCTGGGAAAAGCGGCTGAAGTTAAGTTATCCCAAATTCCTCTTTCAAATGACACCATCAGCGACAGAATAGAGGTTATGAGCAAAGACATCTTGGCTCAAGTACTTGCAGATCTGACTTCAAGCCCAGCAAAATTCAGCCTTCAACTCTACGAGACCACAGACGTTTCCAATCTAAGCCAGCTTACTGTATTCGTGTGCTATGTGAAAGGCGACTTGATAAAGGAAGACTTTTTATTTTGTAAGCCTCTTACAACAACAACTAAGGCAGCCAATGTGAAGAAACTTGTGGATGACTTCTTCAAAAACAACAATCTTTCGTGGGATATGGTTTCTGCAGTTTGTTCGGACGGAGCTCCAGTCATGCTGGGAAGAAAGCCTGGTTTTGGTGCGCTAGTGAAAGCTGATGCACCACACATCATTGTTACGCATTGTATTCTGCACAAGCATGCGTTGGCAACAAAAATCTTACCTCCAACACTGGCAGAAGTATTAAAAATTGTAGTGGAATGCGTGAACTATGTGCGAAATAGTGTTTTGAGGCATCGCATCTTTAGTGAGCTGTGTAAAGAAATGGGCTCTGAATTCGAGGTACTTTTGTACCATTCTAACGTTCGATGGTTATCTCGGGGACAGGTGCTGAATCGTGATTTTGCCCTGCGTGTGGAATTAGCCCTGTTTTTGCAAGAGCACCAACATTTTCATGCAGATTGCTTCAAAAATTCTGAGTTCATTCTTATTTTAGCGTACATGGCTGCTATCTTCGCAGCTCTCAATAAACATATACATGGCGGTGGAGTCAACATCATCAAAACGGGAAAAAAAAAAACCTGAAGGCTTTTCAAAAACAAGCTACCGTTATGGAAACGAAAAATAGAGAACGATAACTTCGCAAACTTTCCCCTGCTAGACAGCTGTGCATGTAAGATCGAAGATGTATCTGGAATCGGAGAAATTTCTTTACCCGCGGAACTGAATCAAGCAATTACCACGCACTTAGATGAGCTTGCAAAGTCTCTCGACGGATACTTCCCTACAAGAGAGTCTTATCCAGCATGGGTGAGACAGCCGTTCGCGTTTAGTGTTGAGACAACAGATGTCAATCATGAATACCTCCATGAAATCATTGAAATTCAGCAGAGCCAGGTCCAACAGCAACTCTTCAGAACAACAACGCTCTCAACGTTTTGGTGTCAACAAATGGTAACGTAACCTGTTATTGCTAAGAAAGCTCTGGAGATTTTCATACCTTTTGTTACAACATGTCTTTGCGAGCAATCATTTTCGAGGATGTTGGACATAAAAACGAAAAGGAGCAGACTTTGTTGCCAAAATGACATGAGAGTGGCACTTGCCAAGGTGAAGCCGCGCATTTCTGAACTGGTCTCTGAAAGTTAACAGCAGAAGTCACACTGATTTGCAGTAAATATTCATTATTATGTTTTTGTTTTTGTGTGAAAATCATGTTTTAATGGTTTCATTCTTTGAACACAGTGATGTTGATGCACGGTTCATTTTGTGCACCAGTAAAATATATACTTATGTTTTGAATTTGAAAAAAAATCATATTTTATTTTTCCAATTAAGAAGGGTTGGTGAATGCGCATATGAAACTGGTGGGGTTCAGTACATCCAACAAGGTTAAGAACCACTGCTCTACAAACACGAGATATTTAATTGTTTGTCCATCTTTTTTTCTCTCATGGTCTTTGTTTACTGAACGCGTCAATCGTTACTAAAATAGTCTTTACCCGATGCCTATTTAACTTAGGGAGAAGCATGGAGATATATCATACCTCTACAACAGCAAGGGGACTGAATGTCTCTACTGCTGTTGTTTGCTCAGATATCATGCAGTCTCTTTTTTATCAGACTCTAGGACTTCGAAAATGATAAGTTTTACATCATGTAGAAATGAATCCATCAATCAGTAAAATTTATTATCAACTTGTTAATGTACATTTTTCTTTAATTTCGTAGTATATATTTCTTGACCGCAATATTCTAGGACTTCGAAAATGATAAGTTTCACATCATGTAGAAATGAATCCATCAATCAGTAAAATTTACTATCAACTTGTTAATGTACATTTTTCTTTAATTTCGTAGTATATATTTCTTGACCGCAATATTCTGTGAATCATTTATAAAATCTATGAAACTGCTACTACTACTACTACTACTACTACTACTACTACTTATTATTATTATTATTATTATTATTATTATTATTATTATTATTATTATTATTATTATTATTATTATTATTATTATTATTATTATTCAGTGCCGGATTATGACAAGTGTTGTTTATTTTCCCAAACTTTCAAACAGGCCTTGACTTTCATCAAAAGGACTCGCTTTACTCGAATTAATCATACGAACCAATAAGCACGTGCGCAATTTAAAAATAAAAAAAAAAAAAATAAAAAAACGATGGTCAAATTTGAAGTGCCAAAGTGACTGTACCTTTGTGAGTGTGCACATTTCATTTCTTTTTAGCCTTGGAGGTTCAGAAACTCCGGATCTACCCACTTCCCATCCGGCTCTGTTAGTATTCTTCTTTCTTCATTATGTCCGATACATCATATCTTTTGCATGACCAAGTAAATATATAATGTACACGAGTCAGTTCAATACATAGAGTAAAATGGTACAATTACAACTGTGTCGACATATTCTTTTCAAGTTTATTTCGACGGCCACAATTATTATCCTTGTTCGAAAGAAACGTCAAGCAATAATTGGGATAAATA